TTGGAATCGCTCAACGTTGCAGCGAGATTCAAATAAACAGACCGCCTAATCGCGCTTGAATTGCCTCGCAAAAACTCGAGATAAAATTAAGGAAATTTTTCAAACCAACCGTACCAACCTATACACACCATAAATAATGTATCTTGCCAAAAACCCGCCACACATAAGCCCGTGTTGCTCGAGACTAGTGGTAAATTCGTCTTCGGCGAGCTAATGTACGCGTTGGGTAGTGTTGCGTCGCAGTCATGACCCGTATGGCCCCAACCCTCTGGCTGACCGTGGAATCATCATAGATATCTGTTCTGGCTTGCGCGAGTTTAATTAGACGCCGCTGGAGCCACTCTGGACCGGTGTTCTGATAAAATTCCCAAAAATCCTTCCGTCTGCGCGAAGACCACGATTAATATATAAAAAGAATATTATTTTAATCCCATATAAATTCTGACAACCAAAATAAAAATATTGAATGAGTAGAGGAAAATTACCCGTGAGAGACAATGACTAAAGTGGAAACAGAAAGTAGCATTCTCTCTAAGGAGACCGTCGAGAGGGTCCACAGTACTTCTAGTTGTTATTACAAGTTCTAACAACATGTTATGTTGTACCTGTTGATATGAAGTGATTTGGTTCCTCGAGCAGTTTCATAGATTATTTTATCCTTCTATAATCTAATCGTTTTATTGTAGGGTTCGTTGAGTAGATCATCCATACAAAAAATCAAGTTGATTAGATATTTGTTAACCCTATAATCAGACACATTTGTTTCTATAAAAATTAACGTTAACATACTTTAAATAAGATTTTAAAAGCAATTACAACCTAATTATTGGGTTTATGAGTATTGATTACTTAATTTTTTCTGCATAAATAATATTCTTGAAAAACTATACATATAATAATTTAAATTACCAAAAATATTCAAAAAAAACTTCCTACATAAAGCAACAGTAACTGCTGTGCACAGCAGCTACCAGCACAGTAACCACAATAAATGAGGTCAGGTGATGTGCTAAAAATTATGGTTTAGAAAGGGTTCCAACCACAGAATAAATGATGGTGAGGTTCATGTGCTCAAAATTATGTTTAGAAAGGGGTGAAAATGCTAGAGGTCCCAATTTTCTACCAAATAAATTGACAATGTCTCACATGGTGTGGGCCCACAAAAATTGCCGGACCCACACCCATGTGAGACATCTGGTCATTATTTGTAGCAGAAAAGTTTCGGTGTCCCTTAGCATTACAACACAATAAAATGCAGGTGATGAGATGTGATTGAATGTGTTTTTAATAAACGGACACCTGTTGTTCTTATCTCACCATTTGAATTTGTAGATTTAAAATTTAATATAATTAGTATCATATTGTAATATATATGTATTCATTAGTAGTGGTCCGCTACTCTAAGATACAGATAAATAATGTGAGATTAAAAATACAGTTGTACACTTATACGTATCATATGAAAAATTTATGAAGCTGTGTCAATTTTTTATTTTTTTATTTATTGATTAAAGATACTGAAAAAACATATTATTCTTTTTAGGGAACTGTGTACAATTTTGCTTTGTACCACACGCTTATACAGAACTCAAAAAATAAAACTCTTCCTACTTAATGCATTAAGAAACAAACATATAATTTTTATAGCGTTTAAAAAACATAATTTTATTAAAGTGACCAATTGTTGCAAATCACTATAAGAGCATGTAAAAAAAAACTTATAAACATTAAACAAATTTACAAAATCAAAGCTATTGTATACTTGTTAACATGTATAATAAAAAGAAAAATACTAACACTTAAATCACGCCGGCAAATTGCTTGTAATCTCAACAATTAATTTTGAAAATTAAATATCAACAATGCATACGAACATGTACTTCTACCAATTCCAAAAAATTAAATACCAAACTGTCAAGCGGCCCCCTTTTTTATTACTCGAAGTCAGTACCAAATTCATTAACTTAATTCAATTTCAAGGATAAACAACGGAAAATAAACTTCATACATTCAATCCGTAGAGTGGATTAACCAAGTACTTCCATTCCATATGCCAATCCCTCTCTCATTGCATGCTTTACTTGCTTTGTTTGAATGATTTGGCATCATTTCTTACCTCATTTTAGTGCACTTAGTGTTGTCACACTTGCACATTTGTCACTCTTTGAGATATCATGGTTAGTAGAGGCCGGTCTTCGGACCGGGCGAAAGGGGGTGCTCATAGCTGACCTTCCCCAATCGTACCCTAGCTCCCGAGCCGAGACAACTCCGGTGATGACGGACATGTGGCCTTCGGCACCGAGTTAGGGTTTTCTAAATTTCCCCATTAAAAAATATTTAGGTGGCGACTCTGTATCTGGCAAAGCAGTCCATGTTTGGCACTTCTTTTCAAAAAATTTGTTTCTCAAAACGATTTGCTAGATTTGGACTCTTTGGTTCAAGACTCAGAACCGTGACACAAAATTGAGAGTCCGAGCTATAGTGACCCCAAATGAACAGAACGGGAGCTCACCCTGCCGGGGCGTTCGGGGATGTCTACAGCTGCTGAAGTTCAGGTATACCAAATTTTACACACCTGGTTCGGTAAGGTTTCCCTCTTTCTTCTATTTCATATTTTCATTTTCATTTTATTTATTTATTTATTTGTTATGAAAACTGATAAAACAAAATTTTATTTGGTATATTATTCTATTTTTTTTAAAAAATTGAATTAAAAATGAAAAAATGTATTTTTATTTGTTCTCAAAATAAGTTTTTCCGCCTCTATTCCCTCCTTCAACATCTTCAACTACCACTTGCACTGCCATTGTCCCACCACTAATCTCTAGCATTGCTGGCCAGCCAACCTCTAGCTACCTTCCAATCAACTGACAATGAGCTCTGGCCATCTTTCAGCAATCAACTATCCATCGTGACCTTTGGCTACTTTCCGTCCAATAGCTCTCTTGTCATCTGTAAACTCCAGCGACACTTCGACACCAACTTTAATTACTACCCTCAACCACCACATCCGGCCCCCTCTATCACCAACCACCACATTTGACTGAACACAGGGCGGGCCTGTTGTCCGCCCCCCGCCGCATATCATTCGGGGGCAGGGCAAATTGGGTTGGTGTTTTATAACTGAAAAAATAAAAATATTAATCAAAATTATGAATAATATATTATATTATGGATAGTGATTTATAATTAATAAAAGTTAAAAAATATAAGATGAGAAAGAAATTAGTGAAAATAATTATTAAATGTAATATTTTTAGTTTTAATTATATCATATTCAAAAAAATTAAATAATATATATTATATACATATAAATATATGTAGTAAATATAAACGGGGTAGGGGCGGGGGAAGTAAAACCTGCCTCACCTCACCTCCTCATTGGGGCGTAGAAAATTAGTGCAATGCAAGGCGCGGCACGGAATGCGGGGGCAGAGCGGAGCAAGAGAAAATGACTATCCCTGACTACTCACCAAATATGTTTATTTATTTACTTATTCATTTGTTTGTTGTCAAAACACTTATACAATTAAATATGTTTTTATTTTTGTTTTTTTAACTACACTCATACAATCATCTGTAGGGGTGCTAGCGAATTGATTTTGTATTGTTCAAATTGCAAGTTGGACGCGCCCGATTGACTACAGCTTGGGAAAAAGTGAACACAGCAGTACGATTTGTGGTTTATGCGGATAGGGTTCGCAGATGTATGAGTGCTTGTTGGCGGTTTGCGGATTGGACATTTTCTTTAAAAAAATTATTTTTGAGCATTTTCTCCCCATTTTCTAAATATTATCTTTGGGACTTTTTCCCCCATGTTATAAACAGACATTGAGGACAAAACAGGTAAAGGTCGTTACAAAAAAAATATAAATCGTTTAGTTAAAAAATGGATTCTGGAAACTGGATAGATAATTCATTTCCAACCTCCATGGCTTAAAACAAACAGGTAAATATAAAAGCAAAACTAACACAGTAAATCAAGTAATTTTTCATTGTCTTTTACATCAAAAGGCCCATCGAATTGATCAAAAGGCCCATAAAATTTTCATTTCTGTAAATTAAAAAGTAATTAACAACCAAAATTACCCACAACCTCAGAAATCAACCGATTGGACAATACTTCCCCAAATCAAGACCAATCAATTCCATTTTTAGTGTGTTGCATGGGCTAACAAGACCAAGACCAATCAATTCCATTTTAGTCTAATAAGGCAAAATATTTCATCTAACTCATAATTATTACATTCTTTCTTTTACAAAAAGTTAAAAAAGTTAAAAAGTCCTTCTCAAACGTGACTTTTTAACCCCAAGCTAAAATAGTCAAAAAGTCAACCTACTTCCCAAACGAACCCTCAATGGTTAGTTAAACCTTTCGTCAAATTTGAATTCGGTGGTAGTATATGCAAGTCTACCAACGCAAGTTATGATATTATTATTAATTTCACTTATTAATCATATTGTAAATATAAAAAGTTTCTTAAATTATGTCACATTATCAATTTGTACACTAAATAATATACTATTTGATGCATATAATATTATTCATTTAAATTTGATAAAAAATGAGTTATTTTTCTACTGCAATGATTGTAATAAATAGGTATTAAATTAAAGATTTTATTTTTCTTTTATCAAATTAAGAATAAATGTATTTTTCATTAAATTACTATTCATTACCATTGTCAGATGTCCCATGAATGTCCCTCGAATGTCCTACCGGATGACCACCTTAAAATAAAAATTTGTGAAAAAATTGCATTGGACGGTCGACCACCTCAAGGCAAAAAAATAAAAATGAAAATAAAAATTACACTAGCCGGTAGGGGTGTCCGCGGTTCGGTTTGGACCCGCCCGCATCTATGCGGTTTGGGGAAAAGTCAACCTGCAACCGCCCGCAATGCGGTTTGCGGTTTGTGTGGATAGGGTTCGCGGATGTGCGGGCGGTTGCGGGCGGTTTGCGGATTGAACTTTTTTTTCAAAAATTTATTTTTGAACCTTTTTTTTTTCTTTCCCATTTTGTCAATCTTTATTTTGAACAGCTACAGCAAGCAACAAAGTTTGGTTCCTCCTCAAACGATTGTTTTTGCCATTAAGGATGTTAATTATTAAAGAGAATGAGAGGGGAAAGAAACTATTAGAATCAAAGTAAATTTCAGGGCTTGAATAAATGAAGTAATCCTGTGTTTAGCATTGTCATACCTTTGCATCAGTTCTGAATAGTACATGGCCATGCTCATGTCAACTCTGCCTCCATACTTGCCACTTGATTTCACAACTGTGAGAAGAATCTGTGAAGACCCACCAACCAATATTGTATTAGACAGTACTGAAAGGGGACACTTCTAAGTGGAAAAATTATTAGATCCTATCAGAGGATTATGGTAGTTGTTTATGTGGTATCTCAATAAACGTGAAATTGCAATATTATTTAATAAAAGTGACTCAAGAAGTCTATTGGTAAAAAAAAAAAAAATTATTATGTGATTGATTTGGAGCACTATGTGAGTAAGTCCATTCTTTAAACAACGGAAAAAATATATATCTTAAAAAAGTATCAAAAATTTTATCACAAAAATAAAAAAAGAAGTATATAATATAGACACAATTAAATATAAGATATGGACTCAATATGTGAGTCATTCCAAAATAAGTGTGGTTGACATATTTTATTTTCTCATATTTTACTATTGTTGTTCAACAAAACAATATGGGAGGCTGTGAAGCCAATGTGGGCCTGACCATTTTTGTGTTCTTCTGAACATAGAACGTGCAGTGACCACTAAGGCAGTTCAAACTTTCTACACATTCAAAAAAAGAAAAAGAAAAAATAATAATAATAATAATAAACAAATAAATAGTGCATAGAAGAAAAATATGAGAAAGGCCATCACTTGGAATAGGATCTTTGTTTATTTGTCTCTTTCTGTACACTGTCGATGAAACATTTAGATTTCTTGAAATGATTTGGACTATAAATATGGTATTTTCTTTTGCTAATGAGAAATCTCACTAAAATAGAAAAACTCTGAATACAATGCAGAGAGATTCAATGTTAATGGGACAAAAAAAATTTGATGTGAACAATACAATGCATAATATCATACATACCTCTTTAAAATTGCCATTGGTCTTGTGGGCAATGTCTTCTTCAATCTCAGAATTATAGTGAAAACTGTAGGCCTGCTTGATTGAATGGAGCTCCGAAGAAGACCGAGTACTCACCACCTCTATTACAGTGCTGAGATTTACTCTTCATCCCCACCACAATGCCTCTCTCACTATCTCTGCATCTATCTCTGAATCAAATTAAATCAAAAAATAATTCCAACAGATTCAGATTTAATTACTAACAGATTCAAATCAAACAAAATTACAGATTCAGATTTAATTTATACAGATTCAGATTCCAAAATTACTAACAGATTCAGATAAGAAGAGACCTTGAAGCTAACAACATATTCTGGGTAAATATGAGTATTCTTATTCATATTCCATACTATCCACTGTCTTGGAGTATGAATATCATCGACTCCACTATCAAAGTCCTCACCATTGACACATAACACACAATCAGAAATGAACAAATAAACTAAGAGTCACAGATCTAAAAAAAAAAAAAGTAAATTAAAAAGTAATTAACAACCAAAATCACCCACAACCTTAGAAATCAACCGATTGGACAATACTTCCCCAAATCAAGACCAATCAATTCCATTTTCAGTGTGTTGCATGGGCTAACAAGACCAAGACCAATCAATTCCATTTTAGTCTAATAAGGCAAAATATTTCATCTAACTCATAATTATTACATTCTTTCTTTTACAAAAAGTTAAAAAAGTTAAAAAGTCCTTCTCAAACGTGACTTTTTAACCCCAAGCTAAAATAGTCAAAAAGTCAACCTACTTCCCAAACGAACCCTCAATGGTTAGTTAAACCTTTCGTCAAATTTGAATTCGGTGGTAGTATATGCAAGTCTACCAACGCAAGTTATGATATTATTATTAATTTCACTTATTAATCATATTGTAAATATAAAAAATTTCTTAAATTATGTCACATTATCAATTTATACACTAAATAATATACTATTTGATGCATATAATATTATTCATTTAAATTTGATAAAAAATGAGTTATTTTTCAACTGCAATGATTGTAATAAATAAGTATTAAATTAAAGATTTTATTTTTCTTTTATCAAATTAAGAATAAATGTATTTTTCATTAAATTACTATTCATTACCATTGTCAGATGTCCCATGAATGTCCCTCGAATGTCCTACCAGATGACCACCTTAAAATAAAAATTTGTGAAAAAATTGCATTGGACGGTCGACCACCTCAAGGCAAAAAAATAAAAATAAAAATAAAAATTACACTGGCCGGTCAACCGGCTGGACATCTGTTTGGTTGTTTACCTAGTTGACCGGTGTTCTGATAAAATTCCAAAATCCTTCGTTGAAACACTTAATATTGAAGAAAAATTTTATTCAATTTTGACAAAAAAAAATTGATGTAGAGATACTACGAGAGGAGAAGCTAAGTGAAAGAAGAAAATTAGGAGTCGGGGTATTGTTGTGCCTTAAGTTACAGCAGTTACTGTTGTACCTTTTGTAGGAGGTTGTTCCGAGTTTTTTTTGATAATCTGAATCGTTCATATTGTAGGGTTCGTTGAGTAGATCATCCATACAAAAAATCAAGTTGATTAGATATTTGTAACCCTATAATCAAAGCACATTTGTTTCTATAAAAATTAACGATTAACATAACTTTAATAAAATTTTAAAAGCAATTACAACCTAATTATTGGGTTATGAGTATCTGATTAACTTAATTTTTTTCATAAATAATATTCTTGATAAACTATACAATATAAATAATTTAAATTACCAAAAAATATTCAAAAAAACTTCCTACAAAAGCAACAGTAACTGCTGTGCACAGCAGTACCAGCAACAGTAACCACAATAAATGAGGTCAGGTGATGTGCTAAAAATTATGGTTTAGAAAGGGTCCAACCACAATAAATGAGGTGAGGTCATGTGCTCAAAATTATGGTTTAGAAAGGGTCCAACCACAATAAATGAGGTGATGAGATGTGACTTGATATTGTTTTTAATAAACGGACACCTTGTTGTCTATCTACCATTTGAATTTGAATTAAAATTTAATAATAATTCATATCATATATATATATATATGTATATTAGTGTATGTCCGTACCTAAAGATACAGTATAAATAATGTTGAGATTAAAATACAGTTGTAATTTATACGTATCATATTAAAATTTATGAAGTCTGTGTCATTTTTATTTTTTTATTTTTGATAAAGATACTAAAAAAATATAAAGAAATATTATTCTTTTTAAAGAACTTGTAACAATTTTGCTTGTACCACACGCTATACAGAACTCAAACAAAATAACAACTCTTCCCAACTTTAATGCAAATTAAGAAACAAACATATAAGTTTTATAGCGTTTAAAAAAAACATAAGTTTTATAAAGTTTACCAATTTTGCAAATCAAAATATAAGAGCATGTAAAAAAAAAACTTATAAACATTAAACAAAATACAAAAATCAAAGCTATTGTATACTTGTTAACATTGTATAATAAAAAGAAAAAAAATTACTAAACACTACATAAATCACACCAGCAAATGCTTTGTAATCTCAACAAATTAAATTGAAAATTAAATATCAAACAATGCATACGAACATGTACTCTACAATTCCAAAAAAAATTAAATACCAAACCAAAACTCTAAGACAAAGAGTAAGGGATAGAAAAGAGGATAAGACAACAACAAACCTACGGAACCAAGTCCGGATTACAGTTCAATAACAACAAGGAATACCAGGATCGCTATACAAACAATACACACCAGCTAGTACTACTGCTGCCAGCCAAATTATAACCATATAAGCAAAACAAACATTATATTGTCATACACCTAAGCTAATAATGTATGTACACTTCACAAAAGAGTGGGAAATTTTTTTACAAAAGTTGTGTTTGCTTCACAAAAAGTGGGTGTATGCTTTATAAAAAATGTGTCAATAATATTTCTTCAAACATGTGTTTACCCAAACTTCCTCCTCATTAGTTTCCAAAAGTCTTTGTATCAATTTGTATGTATCCCCAATGAGGAACATGCACAACAATCTGATAATTTGTGCAAACAAAAAAATATAGATTAGTACATTAATTGGATTAACAAAAAAATATAGACTAGCAAAAGACTATATATCAAAATACTTTAAGATTAAAATTACCTTATTATAGTAATTGGAGTCACCCGTGCCTATATAATTGGCGCATAATTTCAACAATATTTTCACCCGTGCCTAAAGGCACTCTCCTTCCAGCCACTTATATAGTTTGTGAAACTCTAAATTTGAAAGGCATCTATAGTATACATCCAAACCTAAATCAAGCAAAATCCATTCTTTGATCCCAACTTACCCAAATAAGTTGTCAAACAAAAATCATCGCATTCATACAATGGTTGAATGTGGCTAAACCAAAGAGTTATTGCAAAGATGATTAATGTAAAAAGTTATCAATTACATTAACTAAGACAATTTTAAAAATGATATTGTTGCCCTAAAAATTGGCCAAAGTTAAAAGGATTTGAAGTCATTCTAGTATCGATACTTGAAATTAAAAAAAAAATTAAAATTTGAAAAATAATAATAAAGTTAGATTAGATGGATTAAAGCAAAAAATCTAATTAAGAGAAAAAATGCCTAATGTTCAGTATTTTCAAATCAACGTCACATAGTATGTAATAAACTTTCTAACTACTCAAAAGAATCTATCATTTATCAGACACCACTTGCCATCACACACAGTCTAACTCACTTTCTTCGCATGTTTCCTTGTCTAGTTTTACTATCTTTACTATGTACTTGACAAAAAATGAAAACACTTGTTTTTCTTTACTAACTAAACCACGCAAGAAGAGCAATGGGACAACAAAAGCTCTACACCATGAACAAAAGCTCTAAAACCAAACAAAATTAAATTTTAAAATAATTAAAGCTTACCTTGCATGAAGTATCCATTTTTGGATGATCACGCTCCTTTGAGTTTCCATCCCTGTGATAATGCATATCTCATTTTCTAGTTGAAGCATTATATATAACAATTAGTAGGCAACAAAAAAGAATCAAACTTGAAATCAATGCCAATGGGCAAATCTAACTAAAATTAAACCCAAGGTTCATTAAATAAAATTAACTGGACTATTTTTTTAAACAAAGATTACAACCAAATAAAATTAACTGGACTATCTTTCATTGAAGGCTAGGAGCACTTTTCCTTTTTGAATCAAACACAAAAGTACCCAAAAAATATAGAATAAAAAATCAAATTGAACCTATGAAACCCAAGTAGAAAGAATTGGAACTAAATTTTTAAGACCCAAGTAGTTAAAATCAATATAATCTATATTTTTAAGACATGAATTGGAACTAATTAAAAGGAAGCTACCATCTATCTATTGAACCTCAAATATCCAAGTAGATCATTTTCAGATAACTTTATTTTTTTTTAACACAAAAAATAAAATAAAATAAATAAATACAAAAGTGAATAGCTAAAACAAAAAAGGAGAAGCCATCAATCACCAAGAATTTGCCCACAACATTTAAGAGGGCACTTCACCAACGTTAAGGGTTGAAAGTGAAACCATCTTCTTCTACACTTATGAGGTGCCATTATGCATAATCATCCAATTAAAAGTATGAAGTAAGTTTAAACTGCTTCAAGCATAAAGTAAGTGTACTGAATTAATGTAGTTCCAAAACCAAATATTTGAAAAAAAAAAATCAAAACGGCCAATTGACTTAAAACTAGCTTTTGTTACTCTAGACATCTTTACTATTTTTTTTTACAAATTCTTTCTAAACCTCATTGAGCCAATCTCAGCATTGTTTATAGAGTCTTACAAAATAACTGGCGAAGCTGAAAGCATAATTTGTTTTTTTTTTATTTAATTTTTTATTAGAACTTACAATTCTCACTCTAAAAGTAAAATAAAAAATGAGAGGAGAAGAAGAAGAACGAAAGAAAGAAAAAAAAACAAAAAAAAAAGAAAGAAAAGAAAGGAAAGAATAGGCTCAGCTCCTGTAAAAAATAACAGACGGTTTTCACCCAATGAAACTAAAATATATTGAGTTAAGAGTCACAGGGGAAAAGGGAAGAAGAAGAAAAAAATTGACCCTAACTCATCTAATTAAAATTTTAACTTATTATAACCACATTTTTTTGTCACATCTGTTTTAAAATGAATATACAATTGTGCCTACAATGTCTAAGTTTTAAAATTAAAATTTTAATTGATTATAAGTGTTGGTAGAGTTATAGGGTGTGAAAAAAGTAATAGGCAAAGTTATTCTATTGAATCAACATAATCTAAATTTCTCTTCCATCCCCAAAATCATCTATATCAAGAAGAAAAATTCCAATAAAAAGAAACTCAATAAGAAAAACTTCTAGTTCCCCAAAACAAAGATCTAAAATTGTGAAGAAAAAAAAAAGCCTCACTTTTTAAATGGGCCGTTGTGCCATTGCTCTCCATTTCTTGAAACATTCGCCAATAGACCCACACAACATTTCCATTCATTGTATAACCTGAATTTTTCAAGTCTAGTCAAAACAAAGTAAAACATCTCGTTTTTGAAAAACAATAAAATCAAACATAAAGGCATTCTAAACAATGCTAAATTTTAAAATTATAGAAAAAATTATCACAA